GAGAGAGAGAGAGAGACAGAGAGAGAGACAGAGAGAGAGAGCGAGAGAGAGAGAGAGAGAGAGAGAGAGCGAGAGCGAGAGAGAGAGAGCGCGAGAGAGCGAGAGAGCGAGAGAGAGACACAGAGAGAGAGAGCGAGAGAGAGAGAGACACAGAGAGAGAGAGAGACAGAGAGAGAGACAGAGAGAGAGAGCGAGAGAGAGAGAGAGAGAGAGAGAGAGAGAGAGAGAGAGAGGAGCGAGAGAGCGAGAGAGCGAGAGAGAGACACAGAGAGAGAGAGCGAGAGAGAGAGAGACACAGAGAGAGAGAGAGACAGAGAGAGAGACAGAGAGAGAGAAGAGAGAGAGAGAGAGACAGAGAGAGAGAGAGAGACAGAGAGAGAGAAGAGAGAAGAGAGAGAGACAGAGAGAGAGAAGAGAGAAGAGAGAGAGAGACAGAGAGAGAGAAGAGAGAGAGAGAGAGAGAGAGAGAGAGAAGAGAGAGAGAGAGAGAGACAGAGAGAGAGAAGAGAGAAGAGAGAGAGAAGAGAGAAGAGAGAGAGACAGAGAGAGAGAAGAGAGAGAGAGAGAGAGACAGAGAGAGAGAAGAGAGAGAGAGAGAGACAGAGAGAGAGAAGAGAGAGAGAGAGAGAGACAGAGAGAGAGAAGAGAGAGAGAGAGAGAGACAGAGAGAGAGAAGAGAGAGAGAGAGAGACAGAGAGAGAGAAGAGAAGGAGAGAGAGACAGAGAGAGAGAGAGAGACAGAGAGAGAGAAGAGAGAAGGGAGAGAGACAGAGAGACAGAGAGAGAGAAGAGAGAAGGGAGAGAGAGAGAGACAGAGAGAAGAGAGAGACAGAGAGAGAGGAGAGAAGGAGAGAGAGACAGAGAGAAGAGAATACTCTATACTTTGCTGCTACACTAGTTTTCAGATCCTGTATGTGATGAAGTTGCTGGTGTTATTCGTGTTTGTTTTAGACCTCATGACAGTTTTACACAAAGTACAGTCCGCTTTACTCTTGTCACTTGTTCACTTGTTTACGCTAAGCTAAGTAGCCGCCAAGCTAAGTAGACGCTAAGCTAGCCAACTTTGGGAGATCGCCAAGACGGCTGTCAGCTGTCATGGCACTGATTAAAATTAAAGGAACAATATGTAAAAATCTGGCCAAAAGTGGTACTGCCGTCACAGTCAGTATTTTGTAGTCCTCTCCCACTCTCCCTGACTCAGGTTGCCAGATTCACACCAAATCCAGCAGCAAACACAGGGAATTATTTTATCAGTTGTTTGTCCGTCTCCATTCACATTGCCATGACAGCCGTGCTAATGCTGAATGAATGTTTTGATTAATGTTTTTTTATTATTATTATTTGGACATTTGAGATAAAAAACAAAAACAAAATAAAAGCAATGTAATTATACATAGTTTATGCAAAATAAATAAGCAATTGATGTCCAAAATAGGAGTGGGAAGAATGGATGTTGGAACGTATTTCTTCAGCGTATCAACATCAGGGTTTGCTCAAGAAGATATCACCTTTCAATTTTATTTATTCGCTATTTTTTAGACAAACATGTAAAAGCTCCACATCAAAAAGAGACTTACATTATTTTAATTGGGGTACATGTGGTCTTAAATGATTATTTTTACAATTAAGCTATAATCTGCAAAAAAACGTCTTGACCTTCGTCTTTCACCGTTTTTAGAGCAATCCGCCATAGAATGTGATAACATGCAATAAATACAAAAAGACATAACCCGGGATCGAACCCGGGTTCCTGCGTCGTAAGCGCACAGTTTAGACCACTAGACCACCGGTTCACACAGTTAGAGTCACTGTGAAGAACGGAGTCAAACTAGAAAATTCTGCATCACACGTGAACTTTTATCAGCTGTCTCAATTGTTCAAAGGCATCCCGATATAAATCCTCGTTTTAGTTTTTGTTTTGTCATTAATGATTTGAGAGTCATAACAAGACCTTTTTTAGTTCTGCGCCACATGTTATTTTACTTCTGAGATTAATGAGCCGCGCGGAGTTCTGGCAACCCGATCACGGACTTACATGACACTTCCTGATTGGCGAAACGGCGGAGGGTAGGACATCAAAATCAAAACAATAACAACTTTTACGGGTCGTAAAACTAATTTTGATAATCAAATATCTCTGAACTACTGTTATCAGTTAAAGATGTGTTTGAAAAGAACATGATTTATTAATGCCTTCAGATCATTTAATAATGACTTGACATGCAAATATTACATATTGCTCCTTTAAAAATGTGGGTATCGGTTTCTGGGATTGGGTCTTATGGTACCAGTACAAGCATATGGTACCAGTACAAGCCTGTGGTACCAGTACAAGCATATGGTACCAGTACAATCCTGTGGTACCAGTACAAGCATGTGGTACCAGTACAAGCATGTGGTACCAGTACAAGCCTGTGGTACCAGTACAAGCCTGTGGTACCAGTACAAGCATGTGGTACCAGTACAAGCCTGTGGTACCAGTACAAGCATGTGGTACCAGTACAAGCATGTGGTACCAGTACAAGCCTGTGGTACCAGTACAAGCATGTGGTACCAGTACAAGCATGTGGTACCAGTACAAGCATGTGGTACCAGTACAAGCATGTGGTACCAGTACAAGCATGTGGTACCAGTACAAGCCTGTGGTACCAATACAAGCATGTGGTACCAGTACAAGCATGTGGTACCAGTACAAGCATGTGGTACCAGTACAAGTCTGTGGTACCAGTACAAGCATATGGTACCAGTACAAGCATATGGTACCAGTACAAGCATATGGTACCAGTACAAGCCTGTGGTACCAGTACAAGCCTGTGGTACCAGTACAAGCCTGTGGTACCAGTACAAGCATATGGTACCAGTACAAGCCTGTGGTACCAGTACAAGCATATGGTACCAGTACAAGCATATGGTACCAGTACAAGCCTGTGGTACCAGTACAAGCATGTGGTACCAGTACAAGCATATGGTACCAGTACAAGCCTGTGGTACCAGTACAAGCATATGGTACCAGCACAAGCCTGTGGTACCAGTACAAGCCTGTGGTACCAGTACAAGCCTGTGGTACCAGTACAAGCATGTGGTACCAGTACAAGCATATGGTACCAGTACAAGCCTGTGGTACCAGTACAAGCATGTGGTACCAGTACAAGCATGTGGTACCAGTACAAGCATGTGGTACCAGTACAAGCCTGTGGTACCAGTACAAGCCTGTGGTACCAGTACAAGCATGTGGTACCAGTACAAGCATGTGGTACCAGTACAAGCATGTGGTACCAGTACAAGCATGTGGTACCAGTACAAGCCTGTGGTACCAATACAAGCATGTGGTACCAGTACAAGCATGTGGTACCAGTACAAGCATGTGGTACCAGTACAAGCATGTGGTACCAGTACAAGCCTGTGGTACCAATACAAGCCTGTGGTACCAGTACAAGCATATGGTACCAGTACAAGCATATGGTACCAGTACAAGCATATGGTACCAGTACAAGCATATGGTACCAGTACAAGCCTGTGGTACCAGTACAAGCCTGTGGTACCAGTACAAGCATATGGTACCAGTACAAGCCTGTGGTACCAGTACAAGCATATGGTACCAGTACAAGCATATGGTACCAGTACAAGCATATGGTACCAGTACAAGCATATGGTACCAGAACAAGCCTGTGGTACCAGTACAAGCCTGTGGTACCAGTACAAGCCTGTGGTACCAGTACAAGCATATGGTACCAGTACAAGCCTGTGGTACCAGTACAAGCATATGGTACCAGTACAAGCATATGGTACCAGTACAAGCCTGTGGTACCAGTACAAGCATGTGGTACCAGTACAAGCATATGGTACCAGTACAAGCCTGTGGTACCAGTACAAGCATATGGTACCAGCACAAGCCTGTGGTACCAGTACAAGCCTGTGGTACCAGTACAAGCCTGTGGTACCAGTACAAGCCTGTGGTACCAGTACAAGCCTGTGGTACCAGTACAAGCATATGGTACCAGTACAAGCCTGTGGTACCAGTACAAGCCTGTGGTACCAGTACAAGCCTGTGGTACCGACCCGACACCAGGATTGGTCTCGGCGCAGCGTGGATCATGTTTTCTTTCTGGATCTGTGGATGTTGATGTAAATGTAGACCAAATTAACCGCTGTAGCATTACTCCTTCATCCTGAACACGTGGCGAGCGATAACCAGCTCTGTTAAGTCGTTAACGTCTTATTCTTCGTCTCGAGGCGGATCTTTGAGTCCATTTTTGAGATTGATTCAGAGACCGTGGAATAAACACAAACCCAAGAATCGCTCTGAAATTATTTAAGCCGAAGTCGTCAGAACTGTATAAGCTCAAATCAATGTGACCTAGAGTGAAGGCGGAGGAACCAGAGCACAGGGACCAGAGCACAGGGACCAGAGCACAGGGACCAGAGCACAGGGACCAGAGCACAGGGACCAGAGCACAGGGACCAGAGCACAGGGACCAGAACCACGGTACCAGCGATCGATGGGAATGAGAGAAAAGCACTGTTGCTACGAACCTGAAGTTATTCTACAGAGACATGAAAACTCACATTTAAGATGGTTCTAATGTCCATGCTTAACCTCCCAACAAAATACAGAGAGAGAAGGAGAGAGAGACACAGAGAGAGTGGAGAGACACAGAGAGAGAGAGAGAGAGAGACACAGAGAGAGAGAGAGAGACACAGAGAGAGACACAGAGAGAGAGAGAGAGACACAGAGAGAGAGAGAGAGACACAGAGAGAGAGAGGAGAGACAGGAGAGAGGAGAGAGAGAGAACCACAAACCATCTCCAAACAGATTCAGGATAAAGCTCTAGTATCTGTTCCTCCAGAAAAGTCTTCTAAAGTTTGAGCTACAGCATCATAAAGAAGAGCCATGTCAGTCTTTAGGCACTTTCATGTCTATCTAATCTCAACCTTGGCACCACCCAACAACAACAACAACATGATTATGATGTTTAATTATAAATGTAGTCGTGTGTTACCTCCTGCCACTCCAGCACTCCGGTCCAGGCCACCACCTTGTTAGGTCCCTGCGACTGCCCCAGAGCGTTAGCACTGACCTGAGCTCCAGACACCCCAGGCTGAAAACACCACACAGTAAACAAACACAGGTCACATGACACACACAGACCAATCAGAGAGCAGGATCAGGCTTTCGTTAAAGGAGCTATACCCGTTTCTGGAAGGTTTAAATGTTAAGCCCCGCCCCCAACTCCCTCACAACAATCACTGATAGATAGTCCGAGCGCAGATAGTCCGAGCGCAGATAGTCCGAGCGCAGATAGTCCGAGCGCAGATAGTCCGAGCGCAGATAGTCCGAGCGCAGATAGTCCGAGCGCAGATAGTCCGAGCGCAGATAGTCCGAGCGCAGATAGTTCGAGCGCAGATAGTCCGAGCGCAGATAGTCCGAGCGCAGATAGTCCGAGCGCAGATTGTCCGAGCGCAGATTGTCCGAGCAGAGATTGTCCGAGCGCAGATAGTCCGAGCAGAGATAGTCCGAGCGTAGATGGTCCGAGCGTAGATGGTCCGAGCGCAGATAGTCCGAGCGTAGATAGTCCGAGCGCAGATAGTCCGAGCGTAGATAGTCCGAGCAGAGATAGTCCGAGCAGAAATAGTCCGAGCGTAGATAGTCCGAGCGTAGATAGTCCGAGCGTAGATAGTCCTATTGGCACTTCCCTATTGGGCTTCATTGAGTTAGCGCGTTAGCAATGACCAGCAACAGCAAGACTGTGTTTAAGCTCCTCCTTCTTTACCATATTTAGCCTCAGGCCCCTCCCCCTCAATACCATATGTAGCCGCAGGCCCCTCCCCCCCATTACCATATTGGGCTGCCCCGTGGCGGTGGCGGCCTGGTTCGGCTGCTGGTGTGGTTGCGGTGCTTGCTGGTTGACCACAGGCTGACCAGGGGGTGGGATCTGCGTCTGGTTGGGCGGGACCTGGGATTGTGACATCATGGGGGAGGGGCCTGTGGTTACCGTGGCGATGCTGGGCTGGCTCAGACCCGGCATGTTGTGCTGGTTCCCAAACGGAGGTCCCTGGTTTAGGACTGGTGCAGAGAGACTCGGTTTAACTTTGACTTTGTGTAAAAAAGTTTATATGAGACTAAAACACTTACAGCGAGGTTTCTGCTGCTGGCTCGTTGCCACCTCCACCACCTTCTGCGCCACCTGCAAAGCATTCTGGGAGTTCACAGGGACAGTTCAGTTAGAGATCAAAGGGAACACAGGACTCTGGATCTGTCTGGATCAGTCTGGATCAGTCTGGATCAGTCTGGATCAGTCTGGATCAGTCTAGATCAGGCTAGATTAGGCTAGATTAGGCTAGATTAGGCTAGAACTTTGTGTCTATTTGTTTACAATTGACAAAATGTTTTTTAAATTGTCCAATAGTAAATGTTGTCAATCCTAATGTGAAAGAGAAGGAAAGATTTGTTTGGCTCTAAAATAGATGTTTAAAAAAAATAACTTGGTAAAGGACAAACTGTAAACCTTTCAAAATATATGATTTTAGATCAAAATATTACCTGGTAGGGTCTAGTACCTGGTAGGGTCTAGTACCTGGTAGGGTCTAGTACCTGGTAGGGTCTAGTACCTGGTAGGGTCTAGTACCTGGTAGGGTCTAGTACCTGGTAGGGTCTAGTAACTGGTAGGGTCTAGTACCTGGTAGGGTCTAGTACCTGGTAGGGTCTAGTACCTGGCAGAGTCTAGTACCTGGCAGAGTCTAGTACCTGGCAGAGTCTAGTACCTGGTAGGGTCTAGTACCTGGTAGGGTCTATTACCTGGTAGGGTCTATTACCTGGTAGGGTCTAGTACCTGGTAGGGTCTATTGGTAGGGTCTAGTACCTGGCAGAGTCTAGTACCTGGCAGAGTCTAGTACCTGGCAGAGTCTAGTACCTGGCAGAGTCTAGTACCTGGTAGGGTCTAGTACATGGTAGGATCTAGTACCTGGTAGGGTCTAGTACCTGGTAGGGTCTATTACCTGGTAGGGTCTATTACCTGGCAGGGTCTATTACCTGGCAGGGTCTATTGGTAGGGTCTATTACCTGGCAGGGTCTATTGGTAGGGACTAGTACCTGGAAGGGTCTATTACCTGGCAGGGTCTATTACCTGGCAGGGTCTATTGGTAGGGTCTATTACCTGGCAGGGTCTATTGGTAGGGACTAGTACCTGGAAGGGTCTAGTACCTGGTAGAGACTAGAGCAGGGGTGGCCAACCCGCGGCTCGTGAGCCGCATGCGGCTCTTTGGCTGGTTCCGTGCGGCTCTCGGGCTTTCACACGAGAAGCGTCAATAACGCCTCGGTGGTGGCGCTGCCTTTCATTCCCTATGTAGTTCTGACCCATAGTAAAGGCCGACTTCACTCCACTAGCCAGGCCACCAAAACAATCTGACGTCGGCAAACGTCAATTCTGGTTGGTCAGATGCGCTGTCAATCACTCTGCAGCTGCTGCCTCAGCTGTTGCAAATATCATAACAAACAACACGTTGCCTCGCTCGACCCATGGCGTCCGTACGGAAAACAATATCTTGGTCGCTGGATGAGGGCAACACCTTCCTCAGTTTGAGGAGAGGACACCAGCGTGAGCTCGATGGTTCCACCAGAAACCAGAAGGTGTTTGTGGAGCTAGCGCTAAGGACGGAGCAGAATGATTCCCACAAACATGACAATGCAGAGAAAAGTTAAAAAGCTTAAAAGTGACAACCGTGAAATGAAAGATCGCAGCAGCAGAAGTAGAGGCAGACTCGAAAAGTCTGGAGGTGGTTTGACCAAATGGATTACATTTACGGACATCGGCTAACACCGGCTAACATGCTAAAACCAGCTAACACCAGCTAGCATTACACCAGGAGAAAAGCCAACTCTCCCTGGTGAGTGTCTGTCTTCAATCAAATGCAAAAGTATCTGGTCTTATACTGAGCATGTGTCTGTGGTTCTAAATCAGCTAAAGTGGTGTTGGTGTTATGTGTCAAATCTATATCTTTTACTAAACGCAGTCAGAGTGAATCATGGTTCGATAAAGACAGTTGTGTTTCTGCTGAACACTGGGTTGAAACTCGATTTTTTTTTTCTTGGTTAGAGATTGAAAGCATTCATTTCGGAATCATAATTGATGTTCGCTGACGTGAAATTGTTCTGGTATCGACTCGCCCGGTTAGAACCAGGGCCAAACCATTAATAAAAAGTACCGGGGAGTGGTTGAAGCGAGCGGTAGAAGCGCCTGCAAACCGGGGAGAGTCGAGTCCAGCCCTTTAGTGCTGTACGAGTCAATTTCTGTCATTATCATTTACATCTGTCTGAGCAGAGCACACCTCTCTCTGCTCAGACAGATTGCATGTGTGTGCGCGTGTCTGCTCGTGTGCGTACGTGCGCGTGTGCGTGCGTGTGTAAGGGTTGGGGTGATGTTTATGTAGTATGTATATTTGTATGATGTGGCTCTTTGCTGTAATACAGTAAAAAAAATTGGCTCTTAGTCTCTGACTGGTTGGCCACCCCTGGTCTAGTACCTGGTAGGATCTGGTACCTGGTAGGGTCTAGTACCTGGTAAGGTCTATTACCTGGTAGGGTCTAGTACCGGGTAGGGTCTATTACCTGGTAGGGTCTATTACCTGGCAGGGTCTATTACCTGGCAGGGTCTATTACCTGGCAGGGTCTATTGGTAGGGACTAGTACCTGGAAGGGTCTAGTACCTGGTAGAGTCTAGTACCTGGTAGGATCTAGTACCTGGCAGGGACTAGTACCTGGCAGGGTCTAGTACCTGGTAGGGTCTAGTACCTGGTAGGATCTAGTACCTGGTAGGGTCTATTACCTGGCAGGGTCTATTGGTAGGGTCTATTACCTGGTAGGATCTAGTACCTGGTAGGGACTAGTACCTGGTAGGGGTGGTTGGAGACCATGTGTGAAGCAGGCTGTGGAGCTGACCCTAAAGGTTGGACGACGGGCAGCGGCTGAGGGGGTAGGACCGGCTTGTGACCCCCTGATCCTCCCACAGACGACACTGCAACACAGGAAACATGAATGTGTTTGGATGAGACGGAATAAAACTAATTATGAATAATAACTAGTATTGAAGAACTCTTTACCTTTTCTAGTTTCCCTGTGCTCTTACATACTTCACTGTCTGGTGTCTCTGATGGTACGAGGGACGTGTTTAAATACATTTCTTCCGCCGTATCCGTGCCTCAGAACAGACTGGTTCTTCACTAAGTTTAAATGAGTCTTTTTCAGTCTAATTAAATTAAAGTTAGAGGAGGATTTGGTTTTCACACCTGCTTTGTAAATGCACTCACTCTTCGACCATTGTCCTTATTATAATGTTTTAATCAGCTTTAACTCGTGTTGAATCCAAACGTATCTTAACATTTGAGCTTTTTTGCAGAATCCTAAACAGATTTGGATCCCTGGTTCTTTGGTTTTGAGAGAGCGAGTTCCTGACCTGGTAGTGAGATTCCTCGGACCAGCACCATGTGGAAGGCCTCCTGGCTGAAGTCCTGCAGCGGCTCCACAGCGCCCCCTCCTGGAGACGCACGGTCGAACAGCGCCCTGAGAGCCGGCAGCTTCCGAGGAGCCACCACCGAGAAATGAATCCCCTTCTGCAGAGACAGGACCAGACTGAGGCAGGTTTACCAGCCTCCAGGAAGGTGCCATATAAATAACATGTATTATTATTAGGGCTGTCAAAATTATCGCGTTAACGCACGTTAATTAATTTTTTTCATTAATCGCGTAAAAAAAATTAACGCATTTGACGCATGTCCATGCGTCCCATAATAACACTCAGAATGCGGCGGACACATGCGTGTGTAAGACGGGGACAGAGCAGGTCTCTGGGAGTGACCGCGGGGCACTTGTTGTTTCCTGTATGAACTCTGCATGATGAGCTGCGGGCGCCACAGCGCTCTGGACCGTTCCCACTTCCAGCGGCTGTGATCACGGCGAACGGCGCTGCGTAACGGGATCACATCCAAGACCACGCACAGAACTATTACAGAACTATTCTCTAGTGTGCGTACGTGTCTTTGTGTAACAGATACACACAATATGTACAGCGCTGAAGCTGGAGGAGCCTCAGTCTCCTCCGTGTCTTCTCCCGAAGCGCACTCGCTAAATTAAAGCTGAGGTACCTAATTTTCCTTTCGACCATCAGTTCATGTTAGTTGTGCCAAAAAAGTAATGTTGTGAGCAAATCAAACAGATTTAATGACATTCTGCATTTCAGACTATTTTGAAATGTCCCTCATCTGAAACAAACAATGGTTTGGTCTGAGTTAATAATGTTAATTCCATTTTATATGGATTTATTGTTATAACAAACAAATACAGTTGTTCACTAAAGCTGTCATTTATCTTTCCATTCCAACAACCATTTACAAATGTGATTAATTACAATTAATTAATTTTTAAGCTGTAATTAACTTGATTTAAAAAATTAATCGTTTGACAGCCCTAGTGTGTGTGTGTGTGTGTGTGTGTGTGTGTGTGTGTGTGTGTGTGTGTGTGTGTGTGTGTGTGTGTGTGTGTGTGTGTGTGTGTGTGTGTGTGTGTGTGTGTGTGTGTGTGTGTGTGTGTGTGTGTGTGTGTGTGTGTGTGTGTGTGTGTGCGCGTGCGTATAAACAAAGTGAATGTGTGTGTGTGTGTGTGTGTGTGTATAAACAAAGTGAATGTGTGTGTGTGTGTGTGTGTGTAAACAAAGTGAATGTGTGTGTGTGTGTGTGTGTGTGTAAACAAAGTGAATGTGTGTGTGTGTGTGTGTGTGTGTGTGTATAAACAAAGTGAATGTGTGTGTGTGTGTGTGTGTGTAAACAAAGTGAATGTGTGTGTGTATAAACAAAGTGAATGTGTGTGTGGGTGTGTATAAACAAAGTGAATGTGTGTGTGTGTATAAACAAAGTGAAAGTGTGTGTGTGTGTATAAACAAAGTGAAAGTGTGTGTGTGTGTATAAACAAAGTGAAAGTGTGTGTGTGTGTGTGTATAAACAAAGTGAAAGTGTGTGTGTGTGTATAAACAAAGTGAAAGTGTGTGTGTGTGTATAAACAAAGTGAAAGTGTGTGTGTGTGTATAAACAAAGTGAAAGTGTGTGTGTGTGTGTGTATAAACAAAGTGAAAGTGTGTGTGTGTGTATAAACAAAGTGAATGTGTGTGTGTGTGTGTGTATAAACAAAGTGAAAGTGTGTGTGTGTGTATAAACAAAGTGAAAGTGTGTGTGTGTGTATAAACAAAGTGAAAGTGTGTGTGTGTGTGTGTATAAACAAAGTGAAAGTGTGTGTGTGTGTGTGTGTGTAAACAAAGTGAAAGTGTGTGTGTGTGTGTGTGTATAAACAAAGTGAAAGTGTGTGTGTGTGTGCGTATAAACAAAGTGAATGTGTGTGTGTGTGTATAAACAAAGTGAATGTGTGTGTGTGTGTGTGTGTGTGTGTGTAAAAACAAAGTGAAAGTGTGTGTGTGTAAACAAAGTGAAAGTGTGTGTACGTCTCTGATGATCTTGACGAGGGTGTCTGCGGTGTGTCCGGTGTAACTGACGCTCTCCACGGCTGGGAGCAGGTACGGAGGAGAGTTACACAACAGCACACACACTTTGTGAGTCTGGCCACTGAAACACACACACACGCAGGAATGAGGAACACACACTTTGACCCTGACAGTTGTATCGTCTGGACTCACATCTGTTCCCTCATCTTCTTAAAGTCGTCAAAGAGCTGCAGAGCCACAGACAGACCTTCAGCGATCAGACTGCAGCTCTCTGCTCCTCCACCCATGAACCTGCAACACAACCACACAACACTGCAACACAACCACACAACTAACTTTGGATGTGTAAAAGACCAGAGGAAACCTAGCCTGGTCGTACCACACCATAGTACAAATTACATTGTCTCCATTGACTCCGTTAACAGGTGGGAGGGGCGAACTCCTGTTGCAGATTGAAACGATTGGATCTGAGTTTACTGTGACGTATGTAATGAGCCTGAGTGAGTCGTTAGCATTTAGCCTAGCTTTAGCATTTAGCCTAGCTTTAGCCATCTCCTTTGCCGCTAACGGAGCCCGTGGGGCAGGGCCGGAGTGGGACAACATTTCAGGCCGGGAGCTTTTCATCCATTCAGGCCAAACAAGGTTCTAAATTTGGGTTTTTGTCATTGTATTTTGATGTTCTTTTAATAGTTTTAAGATTGACTGTCAAAACTTTTGTTTTCTTTATTTTTTTTTATATTGACTTTTTATATAATCTTGGACGTTTAAGGATTGTTGTACGTTGCTTAGCAACGTAACGTTTATGGAGTTTAGTGAGAATAAAGACACACACACACACACACACACACACACACACAATGAACTAAGTGTTCATTAGTGTATAACTATAACAAGCTAATCAATTATTGTTAAAAAAGTAGTAAGGTAAAATCACATCGTTACAGCTCATATAAAAGGAAAAATAAAAACGTGTATGAACCATCAGTTGGAGAGACCACTCATTTCAACCGGGGAAGCTACACTGGGTGCACTGCTAGGCTGGGGAAGCTACACTGGGTGCACTGCTGGGCTGGGGAAGCTACACTGGGTGCACTGCTAGGCTGGGGAAGCTACACTGGGTGCACTGCTAGGCTGGGGAAGCTACACTGGGTGCACTGCTAGGCTGGGGAAGCTACACTGGGTGCACTGCTAGGCTGGGGAAGCTACACTGGGTGCACTGCTAGGCTGGGGAAGCTACACTGGGTGCACTGCTGGGCTGGGGAAGCTACACTGGGTGCACTGCTAGGCTGGGGAAGCTACACTGGGTGCACTGCTAGGCTGGCCTGGCTGTGTAGCCGACGTGTGACGTCACATTTGTTTAATTTTGCTCTGGCCCAATGACAGTAAAGCTTTGGCCAGTGTTGTGCCAGTTCACAGCTTTTCTGAACTAGTTCAAGTTCAGTTCATACATGCTCAAAGTGAACAGTTCACGTTCGAAGTTCTCAATTTTTCACTACGAGCTAGAAATCACAATACGTGGTATATTATATATTATATCCTGTACACTGCACAGGATGTTTTGACTCCAATGCAGACCAGATTTACATGGGTTTCAATGGGAACTGAGTTGTCCCATCTCTGCTCATAAGTACAAACTGTAATGCGCTGCAGAACGTGTGTCTATACTTTATGTCAAATGTAAACGGCCTGTGTCACTGACTTACCCCTGTGTTTTCTTCACGGCACATGTGAGTCCAACAACCAATGAATAGCACTAGCATACAGCGCCGCACCGCAAGTACACTGAGTCAGGGTGCGTTCACAGACGGTGGAAACCGTAGGAATTTTTAGTTTTCGGCGGAAACAGTGCGGAGAATACAGGAGGGAGGAACTTTCTCTCGTTGCGTTTCAAAAGAGAAAACAGATTTCACTCAGTTTTAAATGGAAAACAAATTATCTGCCGTTCATGACACATGATATGAACTAATTCACGTTCAAGTTCTTTATTAAAAAATGTGTTGCGTTCAGTTCAACGTTCACGAAAAAATGAGCGTGTTCAATGAACGCGTTCTTTTGAACTCGTTCACGCACAACACTGCCTTTGGCCTGGGCCTTGCTCATTGGACCAGGCCACCAGGCAGGGTAGGAGTTTGCAAAGACCGTGAGGATGAAATTAAATTAAAATAAAATAAAACCCATAAAAAATAAAAATAAAGACAGTGATGATAGGGCAGGCCCAGGCCACTTTGACACGCAGGCCACCGGGAGATCTCCCGATGCTCCCGATGGCCAGTCCGGGCCTGCCGTGGGGAGTAGCGCCACAATCTTTGCAGCGATAACATTTGCTAAACATTCCTCTTGCTTCGGCTTCATTGTTTTGACAGAACCAGACTTTACTATCACATTTTGTGCTAGTGCCAATGCTAGCACAATGCTAGCATTGGCACCAGCCAATGCTAGCATTGTTAGCATTGGCTAATTCTTATTCCGGGTCCACCCCCACAGGCCCGGAGTGGTACTGCAGCATGTCAGCGCACGTCATTTTGGACACTTTTGAGCCGGGACCCGCCCACACTGGACCAGACCCAGACGTTACATGCAGGACATGATGATTGACAGGAGTGTACGGATGGATAAGACCAGGCTAGAGGAAATCATATCACCAATGAAGATGCACCCAAACAACACCAGTCCAGTGTGTGATCTCAGGGAATTCATAAAACTAATACAACTGAAATTGTTTTTTTCTCATTTCAACAATAGGAAAAACATTGTTTTAACAGTCAACAATAAGAGCCACTGTCATATTCCACTCTTACACCATGTTTTTGTGCTCTGGAGCTAGCAAAGAAGCTATACTCTATGTGGTGGTGAGTTTTCAGATGTTGGTTTCTGGTGTTATATGTGTTTGTTTTGGACTCGTCGCGTACAGCCCACTTTACTCTTGTCACTCGTTTGCTTAAAAAAACTGCCAATGGCCAAAATCCGCTTGTTGCTAAGCTGTTGCTAAGCTAGACTTAGGGGGATCTCCACGGCAACAGGTGCTGCACAGCTGTCTGTGGTTGTGATGCTAATGTAAATTTAAAATGTGGGTATCAGTTTTCGGATCAGGTACGAGTACGAGCCTTTGATATCGACCCGACACCAAAGTCAATAAACAGACAGTGGAGGTTAGTTATAATGGATGGGTTAGTGACAGTGGATGGGTTAGTGATAGTCGATGGGTTAGTGACAGTCGATGGGTTAGTGACAGTCGATGGGTTAGTGACAGTGGATGGGTTAGTGACAGTGGATGGGTTAGTGACAGTCGATGGGTTAGTGATAGTGGATGGGTTAGTTATAGTGGATGGGTTAGTGACAGTCGATGGGTTAGTGACAGTCGATGGGTTAGTGACAGTCGATGGGTTAGTGACAGTGGATGGGTTAGTGACAGTGGATGGGTTAGTGACAGTGGATGGGTTAGTGACAGTGGATGGGTTAGTGACAGTGGATGGGTTAGTGACAGTGGATGGGTTAGTGACAGTGGATGGGTTAGTGACAGTGGATGGGTTAGTGACAGTGGATGGGTTAGTGACAGTGGATGGGTTAGTGACAGTGGATGGGTTAGTGACAGTGGATGGGTTAGTGACAGTGGATGGGTTAGTGATAGTGGATGGGTTAGTGACAGTGGATGGGTTAGTGACAGTGGATGGGTTAGTGACAGTGGATGGGTTAGTGACAGTGGATGGGTTAGTGACAGTGGATGGTTAGTGACAGTGGATGGGTTAGTGACAGTGGATGGGTTAGTGACAGTGGATGGGTTAGTGACAGTGGATGGGTTAGTGACAGTGGATGGGTTAGTGACAGTGGATGGGTTAGTGATAGTGGATGGGTTAGTGATAGTGGATGGGTTAGTGACAGTGGATGGGTTAGTGATAGTGGATGGGTTAGTGACAGTGGATGGGTTAGTGACAGTGGATGGGTTAGTTATAGTGGATGGGTTAGTTATAGTGGATGGGTTAGTGACAGTGGATGGGTTAGTGACAGTGGATGGGTTAGTGATAGTGGATGGGTTAGTGACAGTGGATGGGTTAGTGACAGTGGATGGGTTAGTGACAGTGGATGGGTTAGTGATAGTGGATGGGTTAGTTATAGTGGATGGGTTAGTGATAGTGGATGGGTTAGTTATAGTGGATGGGTTAGTTATAGTGGATGGGTTAGTGATAGTGGATGGGTTAGTTATAGTGGATGGGTTAGTGACAGTGGATGGGTTAGTGACAGTGGATGGGTTAGTGACAGTGGATGGGTTAGTGACAGTGGATGGGTTAGTGACAGTGGATGGGTTAGTGACAGTGGATGGGTTAGTGACAGTGGATGGGTTAGTTATAGTGGATGGGTTAGTGATAGTGGATGGGTTAGTGATAGTGGATGGGTTAGTGACAGTGGATGGGTTAGTGATAGTGGATGGGTTAGTTATAGTGGATGGGTTAGTTATAGTGGATGGGTTAGTGATAGTGGATGGGTTAGTTATAGTGGATGGGTTAGTGACAGTGGATGGGTTAGTGACAGTGGATGGGTTAGTGATAGTGGATGGGTTAGTTATAGTGGATGGGTTAGTTATAGTGGATGGGTTAGTTATAGTGGATGGGTTAGTTATAGTGGATGGGTTAGTTATAGTGGATGGGTTAGTTATAGTGGATGGGTTAGTTATAGTGGATGGGTTAGTGATAGTGGATGGGTTAGTTATAGTGGATGGGTTAGTGATAGTGGATGGGTTAGTTATAGTGGATGGGTTAGTGATAGTGGATGGGTTAGTGATAGTGGATGGGTTAGTGACAGTGGATGGGTTAGTGACAGTGGATGGGTTAGTGACAGTGGATGGGTTAGTGACAGTGGATGGGTTAGTGAAAGTGGATGGGTTAGTTATAGTGGATGGGTTAGTTATAGTGGATGGGTTAGTTATAGTGGATGGGTTAGTTATAGTGGATGGGTTAGTGATAGTGGATGGGTTAGTTATAGTGGATGGGTTAGTTATAGTGGATGGGTTAGTTATAGTGGATGGGTTAGTGACAGTGGATGGGTTAGTGATAGTGGATGGGTTAGTGACAGTGGATGGGTTAGTGACAGTGGATGGGTTAGTGACAGTGGATGGGTTAGTGACAGTGGATGGGTTAGTTATAGTGGATGGGTTAGTTATAGTGGATGGGTTAGTGATAGTGGATGGGTTAGTTATAGTGGATGGGTTAGTGATAGTGGATGGGTTAGTTATAGTGGATGGGTTAGTTATAGTGGATGGGTTAGTGATAGTGGATGGGTTAGTTATAGTGGATGGGTTAGTGACAGTGGATGGGTTAGTGACAGTGGATGGGTTAGTTATAGTGGATGGGTTAGTTATAGTGGATGGGTTAGTGACAGTGGATGGGTTAGTGACAGTGGATGGGTTAGTGACAGTGGATGGGTTAGTGACAGTGGATGGGTTAGTGACAGTGGATGGGTTAGTGACAGTGGATGGGTTAGTGACAGTGGATGGGTTAGTGACAGTGGATGGGTTAGTTATAGTGGATGGGTTAGTTATAGTGGATGGGTTAGTGACAGTCGATGGGTTAGTGACAGTCGATGGGTTAGTGACAGTGGATGGGTTAGTGACAGTGGATGGGTTAGTGACAGTGGATGGGTTAGTGACAGTGGATGGGTTAGTGACAGTGGATGGGTTAGTGACAGTGGATGGGTTAGTTATAGTGGATGGGTTAGTTATAGTGGATGGGTTAGTGATAGTGGATGGGTTAGTTATAGTGGATGGGTTAGTGATAGTGGATGGGTTAGTTATAGTGGATGGGTTAGTTATAGTGGATGGGTTAGTTATAGTGGATGGGTTAGTGATAGTGGATGGGTTAGTTATAGTGGATGGGTTAGTGACAGTGGATGGGTTAGTGATAGTGGATGGGTTAGTTATAGTGGATGGGTTAGTGACAGTGGATGGGTTAGTGACAGTGGATGGGTTAGTGACAGTGGATGGGTTAGTGACAGTGGATGGGTTAGTGACAGTGGATGGGTTAGTGACAGTGGATGGGTTAGTGACAGTGGATGGGTTAGTGACAGTGGATGGGTTAGTGACAGTGGATGGGTTAGTGACAGTGGATGGGTTAGTGACAGTGGATGGGTTAGTTATAGTGGATGGGTTAGTTATAGTGGATGGGTTAGTGACAGTCGATGGCTCGTTTAGTGACAGTCGATGGGTTAGTGACAGTGGATGGGTTAGTGACAGTGGATGGGTTAGTGACAGTGGATGGGTTAGTGACAGTGGATGGGTTAGTGACAGTGGATGGGTTAGTTATAGTGGATGGGTTAGTTATAGTGGATGGGTTAGTTATAGTGGATGGGTTAGTGACAGTGGATGGGTTAGTGACAGTGGATGGGTTAGTGACAGTGGATGGGTTAGTGACAGTGGATGGGTTAGTGACAGTGGATGGGTTAGTGACAGTGGATGGGTTAGTTATAGTGGATGGGTTAGTTATAGTGGATGGGTTAGTGACAGTCGATGGGTTAGTGACAGTCGATGGGTTAGTGACAGTGGATGGGTTAGTGACAGTGGATGGGTTAGTGACAGTGGATGGGTTAGTGACAGTGGATGGGTTAGTGACAGTGGATGGGTTAGTTATAGTGGATGGGTTAGTTATAGTGGATGGGTTAGTGAACTCCCCAATGGGTGGGCACTCTTCCATGGAGGGCACTCACAACTCAAGTGTCCTCAGCATTGGGACAGGGCCTTAGCTTTAGTGTACTATAGTTAGCTTCAGTGTTTAGAGTTAGCTTCAGTGTTTAGAGTTAGCTTCAGTGTTTAGAGTTAGCGATAGCGGCTAAGGTAATGGTCAGTGTCAGGGTCTTACTGGATGCTGTTGATCCAGGAGACGAACTCGAAGGCTGAGCTGGTGGGAGCGTGACACTGGACGTACGACTCTGGAGCACAGTCCACTGTGTTGAAGACCACCAGGCCATACTGTGTACCCCCATACTGCACACACACACACACACACACACACACAACCACAACCACACACACAGACACAACCACACAGACACACACAACCACACACACAGACACACAACCACACACAGATCAGAAAGCTAGTTCCACTAAAGTCTCTGTAGAATCTTCACTCACGTCTCCCCCAAAGTCTGTCTCTGCAGGAGGTCCACCGTTAAAATACCTGAAACCAGAGAGAATGTTTTTATAAAGTCTGTATTGACTTTTCATCACTGTTGTGTGTTTCGTGCGTTTTGTGTGTTTCGTGTGTTTTGTGTTGTGTTCTCACTCTATCGCCGGCAGGATGTAGTTCTTCATGAGAGACTCGAAGTACGGTCCCAGGTTCGCGGTTCCCTCGATCACAAACACCACGTCGGCCACTTGGCTCGGCCCGGGCTTCGCCGCCGCCTCCATGGCCCCGCCCACCTGTGCCCTGCAGCCAATGACAGGGTAGACTGAGGTAGGGCCGATGTATGGGCATGTTCAGCTCAGAATGTGGGTCAAAAAATGATTGATCAAGAATTCATTAAGATGAAGATGTAGAAGTCCTTTATTGGTCCAAGAGAGAGGAAATGTCAGTGTTGCATCGTCAGGTACAGAGCGGTCAGAATGAGGAGCAGCACAAGATAAGGCAAAAGAACTCAGCTCCTTTGCTACTCTTTCTATACTAAATTACAGGTAAGATTACAGGCTTGATGTAAACATGATATTCCACATCTCTCATATAGAGATATAGACATATCTCAAAAGCATTGGACACAGACGAGAGTCATATAATAAAACATTTATTAACTTTGCCACGGCTCGGTCTGTACATTAAGGCTCGGTCTGTGCATTAAGGCTCGGTCTGTTCATTAAGGCTCGGTCTGTGCATTAAGGCTCGGTCTGTGCATTAAGGCTCGGTCTGTGCATTAAGGCTCGGTCTGTGCATTAAGGCTCTGTCTGTACATTAAGGCTCGGTCTGTGCATTAAGGCTCGGTCTGTACATTAAGGCTCGGTCTGTACATTAAGGCTCGGTCTGTGCATTAAGGCTCGGTCTGTGCATTAAGGCTCGGTCTGTGCATTAAGGCTCGGTCTGTGTATTAAGGCTCGGTCTGTACATTAAGGCTCGGTCTGTGCATTAAGGCTCAGTCTGTGCATTAAGGCTCGGTCTGTGCATTAAGGCTCTGTCTGTACATTAAGGCTCGGTCTGTACATTAAGGCTCGGTCTGTGCATTAAGGCTCTGTCTGTGCATTAAGGCTCTGTCTGTGCATTAAGGCTCGGTCTGTGCATTAAGGCTCTGTCTGTACATTAAGGCTCGGTCTGTACATTAAGGCTCGGTCTGTGCATTAAGGCTCGGTCTGATATTTCTTCATACAGACCTCGCGCTCGGTTAATAAGCCGTTAGTAGCCACAGCTGCCCTGGGGCACACTGGCAGAAGCGAGGCAACCAGTCCGTGCCATCGGCCCCTCCCACCACCACCAACCATTCACACCAGACTTTAGAAGAAGTGCTGCTGATTTATCCTATGCCTAACTCTATCCTCTACCTTCTTCTTTGACTGTTACATCCAGAGCCAAAGCAATTTCCAATCCGTGACTTCCTGTTACTTACATGACAATACAATGATTCTAATGTAGGGGAAGTGTCTTGCCTAAGGACACAACCACAGTTTGCAGCCACAGCAACCCCACTAAATGAACAAAGCAAAAATATTCAACCACAGAATAATCAATTGTAAAGTTTTAACTTCCAGCTCTGTCTCTATTATCTATTTCTCTTTCATTTGAGCTTCTGCAAACATGCTCTGTCTGTACTTCCACAGACATGCTCTGTCTGTACTTCCACAGACATGCTCTGTCTACACTTCCACAGACATGCTCTGTCTGTACTTCCACAGACATGCTCTGTCTGTACTTCCACAGACATGCTCTGTCTACACTTCCACAGACATGCTCTGTCTGTACTTCCACAGACATGCTCTGTCTGTACTTCCACAGACATGCTCTGTCTGTACTTCCACAGACATGCTCTGTCTGTACTTCCACAGACATGCTCTGTCTGTACTTCCACAGACATGCTCTGTCTGTACTTCCACAGACATGCTCTGTCTGTACTTCCACAGACATGCTCTGTCTGTACTTCCACAGACATGCTCTGTCTGTACTTCCACAGACATGCTCTGTCTGTACTTCCACAGACATGCTCTGTCTGTACTTCCACAGACATGCTCTGTCTGTACTTCCACAGACATGCTCTGTCTGTACTTCCACAGACATGCTCTGTCTGTACTTCCACAGACATGCTCTGTCTGTACTTCCACAGACATGCTCTGTCTACACTTCCACAGACATGCTCTGTCTGTACTTCCACAGACATGCTCTGTCTACACTTCCACAGACATGCTCTGTCTGTACTTCCACAGACATGCTCTGTCTGTACTTCCACAGACATGCTCTGTCTGTACTTCCACAGACATGCTCTGTCTGTACTTCCACAGACATGCTCTGTCTGTACTTCCACAGACATGCTCTGTCTGTACTTCCACAGACATGCTCTGTCTGTACTTCCACAGACATGCTCTGTCTGTACTTCCACAGACATGCTCTGTCTGTACTTCCACAGACATGCTCTGTCTACACTTCCACAGACATGCTCTGTCTACACTTCCACAGACATGCTCTGTCTACACTTCCACAGACATGCTCTGTCTGTACTTCCACAGACATGCTCTGTCTGTACTTCCACAGACATGCTCTGTCTGTACTTCCACAGACATGCTCTGTCTGTACTTCCACAGACATGCTCTGTCTGTACTTCCACAGACATGCTCTGTCTGTACTTCCACAGACATGCTCTGTCTGTACTTCCACAGACATGCTCTGTCTGTACTTCCACAGACATGCTCTGTCTGTACTTCCACAGACATGCTCTGTCTGTACTTCCACAGACATGCTCTGTCTGTACTTCCACAGACATGCTCTGTCTGTACTTCCACAGACATGCTCTGTCTGTACTTCCACAGACATGCTCTGTCTTACTTCCACAGACATGCTCTGTCTACACTTCCACAGACATGCTCTGTCTGTACTTCCACAGACATGCTCTGTCTGTACTTCCACAGACATGCTCTGTCTGTACTTCCACAGACATGCTCTGTCTGTACTTCCACAGACATGCTCTGTCTGTACTTCCACAGACATGCTCTGTCTGTACTTCCACAGACATGCTCTGTCTGTACTTCCACAGACATGCTCTGTCTGTACTTCCACAGACATGCTCTGTCTGTACTTCCACAGACATGCTCTGTCTGTACTTCCACAGACATGCTCTGTCTGTACTTCCACAGACATGCTCTGTCTGACTGTCTGTACTTCCACAGACATGCTCTGTCTGTACTTCCACAGACATGCTCTGTCTGTACTTCCACAGACATGCTCTGTCTGTACTTCCACAGACATGCTCTGTCTGTACTTCCACAGACATGCTCTGTCTGTACTTCCACAGACATGCTCTGTCTGTACTTCCACAGACATGCTCTGTCTGTACTTCCACAGACATGCTCTGTCTGTACTTCCACAGACATGCTCTGTCTGTACTTCCACAGACATGCTCTGTCTGTACTTCCACAGACATGCTCTGTCTGTACTTCCACAGACATGCTCTGTCTGTACTTCCACAGACATGCTCTGTCTGTACTTCCACAGACATGCTCTGTCTGTACTTCCACAGACATGCTCTGTCTGTACTTCCACAGACATGCTCTGTCTGTACTTCCACAGACATGCTCTGTCTGTACTTCCACAGACATGCTCTGTCTGTACTTCCACAGACATGCTCTGTCTGTACTTCCACAGACATGCTCTGTCTGTACTTCCACAGACATGCTCTGTCTGTACTTCCACAGACATGCTCTGTCTGTACTTCCACAGACATGCTCTGTCTGTACTTCCACAGACATGCTCTGTCTGTACTTCCACAGACATGCTCTGTCTGTACTTCCACAGACATGCTCTGTCTGTACTTCCACAGACATGCTCTGTCTGTACTTCCACAGACATGCTCTGTCTGTACTTCCACAGACATGCTCTGTCTGTACTTCCACAGACATGCTCTGTCTGTACTTCCACAGACATGCTCTGTCTGTACTTCCACAGACATGCTCTGTCTGTACTTCCACAGACATGCTCTGTCTGTACTTCCACAGACATGCTCTGTCTGTACTTCCACAGACATGCTCTGTCTGTACTTCCACAGACATGCTCTGTCTGTACTTCCACAGACATGCTCTGTCTGTACTTCCACAGACATGCTCTGTCTGTACTTCCACAGACATGCTCTGTCTGTACTTCCACAGACATGCTCTGTCTGTACTTCCACAGACATGCTCTGTCTGTACTTCCACAGACATGCTCTGTCTGTACTTCCACAGACATGCTCTGTCTGTACTTCCACAGACATGCTCTGTCTGTACTTCCACAGACATGCTCTGTCTGTACTTCCACAGACATGCTCTGTCTGTACTTCCACAGACATGCTCTGTCTGTACTTCCACAGACATGCTCTGTCTGTACTTCCACAGACATGCTCTGTCTGTACTTCCACAGACATGCTCTGTCTGTACTTCCACAGACATGCTCTGTCTGTACTTCCACAGACATGCTCTGTCTGTACTTCCACAGACATGCTCTGTCTGTACTTCCACAGACATGCTCTGTCTGTACTTCCACAGACATGCTCTGTCTGTACTTCCACAGACATGCTCTGTCTGTACTTCCACAGACATGCTCTGTCTGTACTTCCACAGACATGCTCTGTCTGTACTTCCACAGACATGCTCTGTCTGTACTTCCACAGACATGCTCTGTCTGTACTTCCACAGACATGCTCTGTCTGTACTTCCACAGACATGCTCTGTCTGTACTTCCACAGACATGCTCTGTCTGTACTTCCACAGACATGCTCTGTCTGTACTTCCACAGACATGCTCTGTCTGTACTTCCACAGACATGCTCTGTCTGTACTTCCACGACATGCTCTGTCTGTACTTCCACAGACATGCTCTGTCTGTACTTCCACAGACATGCTCTGTCTGTACTTCCACAGACATGCTCTGTCTGTACTTCCACAGACATGCTCTGTCTGTACTTCCACAGACATGCTCTGTCTGTACTTCCACAGACATGCTCTGTCTGTACTTCTACTTCCACAGACATGCTCTGTCTGTACTTCCACAGACATGCTCTGTCTGTACTTCCACAGACATGCTCTGTCTGTACTTCCACAGACATGCTCTGTCTGTACTTCCACAGACATGCTCTGTCTGTACTTCCACAGACATGCTCTGTCTGTACTTCCACAGACATGCTCTGTCTGTACTTCCACAGACATGCTCTGTCTGTACTTCCACAGACATGCTCTGTCTGTACTTCCACAGACATGCTCTGTCTGTACTTCCACAGACATGCTCTGTCTGTACTTCCACAGACATGCTCTGTCTGTACTTCCACAGACATGCTCTGTCTGTACTTCCACAGACATGCTCTGTCTGTACTTCCACAGACATGCTCTGTCTGTACTTCCACAGACATGCTCTGTCTGTACTTCCACAGACATGCTCTGTCTGTACTTCCACAGACATGCTCTGTCTACACTTCCACAGACATGCTCTGTCTGTACTTCCACAGACAGCCTCTGCTACAGACACATCACAGACCTGTGGAACAGATCCTCACAGACAGCTGCAGTCTGTAGTGTATTTAGATTCTTATATTAGCATTGGGAGTGCTGCAGCAGCTGCTAGCTTAGCACATGTTAGCATCCTCGGTGTGAACGTTCTTGTGAGAAACGCAGTGAGATAAAACATGCACAAAACTCACTTTACAACAGTCTGTCTGCTCCCAGGAGGAAACTGGTTTCAAATGTTACTTTTAAGGTGAATTTCGACTCCAAACCTGCCGAGTGTCAGAGCATCGTATGCTAACCATTTGTTTATTATGAAGGAAGTGACGTCATGTTCCAGTGCGTGTGTCTCCGCCTGGTGGTCAAACCTGGAACAACAACAAGCAAATTATCAATGTTTAAAATACAATCAAGTTTAACCCAATTTAACGCCATAAAAACATGCTCAGATATTTTCTATTTAGATTTTTATTTCTTTATTTACAAAAGGAATACAAAAACCCTGTTTCCACAAGCCACCCTATCCTAGACACTTAACCTGTGGGAACACCAAGTGCCACAGTGGGGCGGCTGCGGCTGTAAAGTGCCAAACTGCCGTTGTGTCCTTAGGCAAGACACTTCACCCCCATTGTCTAGAATGAGTCTGGTGTGGTGGTGGGAGGGGCCGATGGCACAGACGGGTTGCCTCGCTTCTGTCAGTGTGCCCCAGGGCAGCTGTGGCTACAGTAGTAGCTTATCGCCACCGTGTTTGGAGAGAAAGAATAATAACATGTAAAGTGTCTTTGAGTGTCGAGAAAAGCGCTTTATAAAACCGATGCTTTATTATTTTTGTTACTCTACCCTACCCTACCTTACCCTACCTTACCCTACCTTACCCTACCTTACCCTACCTTACCCTACCTTATCCTATCTTACCCTATCTTACCCTACTCTACTCTACTCTTCTCTGCCCTACCCAAATATTATATAACTTATATTGTATATTTTGTGGGCTCCCTGTGTTTCTTACTACTGTCTGTCTGTGCGCTGCAACATTGATATTTCCCCACTGTGGAACGAATAAAGGGTTGTACTCTACTCTACTCTACTCTACTCTACTCTACTCTACTCTACTCGGCTCCACCCGGTTTTGTTTGCATCACGCTTGAGGTCGCATCTGGTCCAGCAACAAACCAGTATCAATAGAATGTCCTTGTACATGTGGTTCAGCTCCTGTCCAGCAGGGGGCAGTAGATATTCACAGTCGTTTTGCTCTGACAGAACGAGACCAGAGCCACATGTTCTGTTTAAATAATAAGAGATTTTTAGGATAATCTATTCATAGAAGTGCGTGTAGCAGAGACTTTAATCTAATACTTTGCTTCTTTTGACAATCGGATTTGTATGTTTAGATGGAGAAACAGACCCAGACAGAGAGACAGATTGATCAAATCTTTTATTATCTTAATGTGAGCAAAAAAGATAAGGTTTACTTCTGAAAAAAACATTTTTCACTTTCATTTCTGGTTCACTTAAGGAAACAATATTAAACAGTTCTTTTCAACCACAAATTGTTTGAATCATTTGAATGACTTGAACCAATCAGCTTTCAGAGGCACTGGAGAAGTCTCTGGAGAAGTCTCTGGAGAAGTCTCTGGAGAAGTCTCTGGAGAAGCCGGTGCACATTGGGGAATAGTCTTGCACAGTTTTTACAATTTGGTTTTACTGCAAATGGCAAAAAAAAATCTTGAAATCTTGAGTCTCAAATTTAGCATAATAAAGAAGCAAGTATAAAATCTAACTTTAGCATAAAAAGTAAAATGAATAAACATAAATCCATGTTCATTTTCACACTCTCCACATCTATGCACTCACACACACACACTCACACACACACACACACACACAGACACACACACACATACAGACACACACATACACGTTTTTGTTACCTGGTGGGTCCCTTTGACAGGGCCGTTCAGAATGGGACCCATAGACATAATCTTTTTTTACTGGGACTACTTTAAGTAATACAAAACAGTCAATAGAAACCAAACAACTATTTTAAAGGAATTTTATTTTAGATTTTGTTTTCGAATTGCAGTGATTCTATTTTTGACATAGAATTTAATGCCACTCCATGTCCGATGTCTAAGGTCATCTGGTGAGGCATTAATGCAGGCCAGGCAGTGAGACTTCCCAGGGACCTTTCCAGTCTGTATGAAAGGTGTCATGGTCTTCTCCACAGCCTTCACCTCAGATGCAGACCATGGCTTTCTTACACGTTCTAGGGAGAGAAATAAAAATATATTAGCAATATACACTCCCAGGGTTAGGACCAAGCAGCCTGGCTGTAATCCCCCACCTGGTACACTTACCAGAAGGGGCACTGCCACTACCATGGGGTGCATCTGCATGAATGGTTGAAGGTTCTCCGCTTGAAGTTTCTTTTAGCCCGTCCGTTTGTGAGAGGATCTCTACTGCTCTCCCTGTCGCACAGAAAATAAAAATACAAGTGGCCTTTAGGGGAAAAAAATCATACATATTTTAATAATATCAAGAATTACCTTCAGGCTCAATTTGTATCTGGTCGAGGCTCTTTCCTTCGAATTCCGTCACTCTTCCCTGCTCCATGGCCATCAACACTTTGCTGATTTTGGCCAGCTCCAGTGTCCCCTCTGGTAGTCTGTAATATTGCCTGTGGATGCGAATGTCATGGCCGAGGAAGTTGGCAAGTATGTCCATCTCATTCTCTTTCATATTGAGAACTGTAGACATAGTAGCTATGTGCTTTCTAAGTTTGGTTGAGGATAGCATCTCTGGATGCACCGCACCACATTCTTTGGCTACCTGGCGTAGGGAGTCTGATCCCCTGATGTGGGTGTCTGCGCCCGGGCGGGAAAAGAAGTATGGGTTATGGTCAGAGATGGAACAGGCCCTTCTGTTCTCCACCAGCACCTCCATCGAAGCAATCATTTCAGGAGTCAAAAGAACCGGCACTTTCCGACTTCTTTTCCCTTTAATTTCAATGCGTTGAAAATGCTGACACAGCTTTTTCTCAAGTTGGGACAGTCCCAGAGCAATGTCAGAATGGATCCCAGTCTTACTTCTTAAGGTAAAGGCTGTCAGTGGCATCTTTGAAACCTCACCTTCCCTTCTTCGATTGAAAATGATGACCTCACAAAGAGTCAAAACTGCCAGTTTAGACCAATGCTTAGACGTTGGCTCACTTATTAGGGTTTGCACATATTCAGGTCGACATACCTCAATATGTGCATGCATGGCTCTAACGTCCTCAGTCAGAGGGAGCAGGTCCGGAGTGTTCCACTTGGCTTGCCGGAGGGTCTGTAGGGCAGCAGAAGAAACACAGACGTCCCACCTCTTCTCAAAAAGCAGCCGGCTTCGTTGGAGGTTTTTAATAAATAGTTCATCAACACAATGCTCCATTTTTGAGTCACATTCAAGAATATCTGCTAGCTTTCTGAGGCTATGGCCGAGTTTGAGGGCCAAGGATGGAGTCTTGTATTGATTTGTTTCCTCATCATATCCAGCCACAGACCTGACTGCATCAATCACATGGTTAAAGTTGGAAGGAATAAAGAAATCCTTAATTGTTTTCAGTTTCCCTGCGGTTTTTGCTTCGTTAATTAACCTACCGACTTCTCTCATTTTCTGCCTAATGTAATCATGCTTTGTCTTATCATGCCCGTGTTTTAAGTACAGGTGCTCTCCGAGTCTCAGAATCCCCTTTTCTGCTTTGACAACACCCGTGACCTCATCCTGATGCATTGCCGAAATTAAAGAGCACAGCTTTTTGCTGATGCCCTCCGGTACAGGCTGGGCTAGGGAGCAGAGGGACTGGACCCTACTTCACCTGGTTTAGCCTGGTTTAGCCTGGGCATCTTTCTGTGAAAGCCGGCACCTGGCCACATGCCTCCACAGCGACTTTCGCTTAAGCAATGCCCCACAGTCTATACAGTGCAAAAACTCACTGGATTTAACTGGGGAATTTGGCTGTTTAGCTGGGACTAAAGTTCCAATGCCGGCCTTTAAAACCTCAAAATTGTGCTCACGGTTTCCACTATTCCTGATCAAATCAAACTGAAGTTTACGTGCTTTAGATTTCACAGGTAGAGCCAATGCTCTGGCTACGTCACTTTCATTTCCATGTTTTCTAGTCAAATGACGGGACATTTTGTGGCAGGACATTGAACAGTAGAGGCAGAAGTGTCTCTTGCTGTAAACTCGCCCCCCATTTTTCTTCTTTTGCAGCTGCATGATAACAATCTTATTTGCCTTTGGTTCGTCACTTTCCGAGTCTTGAAGAAAAGTGTTTTTGATTTTTCTTTTTCCATACTTTTTTACAGGTTTCTTCTTGACAGTTAAATCGTCAGAATCTGAGTCGACTTCATCAATTAGGGACTCTTGACTAAGCTGCACAAACAACAAATAATTTGTAATCATTCTATATAACAATTTGAAGTCATGACTTGTAGTCAGCACTTACCAGTGGTTTGTAAGCGTGCGCTTCAGTGTGCTGCTCTGTGATTGGCTGCAGCCTAATGAACCACACACTTGCACCTTTTTCTAGCCTGACACCTGATTTCCTCTGTTGTGCTGCTCCATGATTGGCTCCAGCCTGCTGGACTGAAATTGCCCCAGTGTGCCCCTCCTTGATATCCCGCAACCCACCACCAGGGTTCCGACACATAACACACTTTTTTCAGGAAAGTAAACCTCCAGGGGTCCTTTCCATATTTTTACAGAGACTGCATAAGGACCGTTAGAAAAGCATTACCCATTGATTATTAAGCTTGGACCAGTGGGGTCCGGTGTTCGGGCCCCACCACGTAAAACCAGTCCCCATGACGTGAGTGGAATCTCAGGTTATGGAACCCACCAGGAGTGGAAAACAAGTGCACACACACAC